GGGACAGGAGGGGATGGGGACACGGATAAGGACAGGGAGGGACAGGGACAGGAAAAGGAAGGGACAAGGATGGGAACAGGACAAGGACAAGGATAAGAATGGGGACAAGGACAGGGACAAGAACGGGGACAAGGACAGGGATGGGAACGGGGACAGAGATGGGACAAGGACAGGGATGGGACAAGGACAGAGATAGGAACAGGACAAGGACAGGGACAAGAACAGGGATGGGAACGGGGACAGGGATGGGACAAGGACAAAGATGGGAACAGGACAAGGACAGGGACAAGAACAGGGATGGGACAGGGATGGGACAAGGCCAGGTTGAAAGGAGTTTAAATCCCATCCAGCCCCATCTTGGACCTTCCACTATCCCAGGCTGTCCTTGGACACTTCCAGGGATGAGGCAGCCACGGCTCCCCTGGGAATTCCATCCCATTCCCTCCCCACTTTCCCAGCCAGGAATTCCTTCCCAAATCCCATCCCAGTTCCCCTTTCCCAGATTGAAGCCATTCCCTGTGTCCTATCCCTCCATCCCTTATCCCAAATCCCTCTCCAGCGCTCCGGGAGCCCTTTTAGGCGCTGGGAGCGGCTTTGGGGCCTGTCGCGACAGCCCTGGGGACAACCGACAGCCCCCGAGGCGACAAGGCCGCAGTGGCGCCGTTGCCATGGTAACTCCGCCACTACCCCCCAGAGGGACTTCAACCCCCATCAGCCCTTGCGGCGCAGCCCTGGCTGTGATTGGCTGGGAGGACGGAGCGAATGGGAAGCGGCGTTGTTGGCGGGCGGAACAAAATGGCGGCGCTGGCGACTCTGTGGGCTCGGGCTGGGGGCCGCAGGTACCGGGAGGGGAAATCCCAACCTTAAAATTCCAAGTTAATCCCTTCTTTCCCTCTCCTCACTCCTTTTTCTGCTTTAATTTTTTTCCCCCCCCAAGCTTTTCCCTGCTGCAAGGTTTTCCCTTCCCGCTGCTCCCAAACCCTCTGGAGCCTCTCCCCAAGACTTCCAAGCCCTCCGTTCTTTGCCGCATCCCGGTTCCTGCGTGGAGTTTCCAACAAATCCGTGGAAAATCCCGGGGGAACGAGTACCAGCCCAACAACTGGAAGCGGAAGAAGACTCACGGCTGGATCAAGCGGATCCGAACTCCCGGCGGGATCGCCGTGATCCTGCGCCGAATGCTGAAGGGCAGGAAATCCCTCAGCCACTGAGGGACCCTCTGGAATTCTCCGGGAATTCGGGATCATCCCGCCCAGCCGTGGAGGTGCTGCCCAGCCCTGCTGTCCCTGCCGCCTCTGAGGGGTTTGGGACGCGGTTGCTGCTTCGGTTGTTAAATTATGCTCGGTTTTTGTTTTTTTTTTACCGTGTGGTTATTCCGAGTTTGTTTTGTTTGTTTGTTTGTTTATAAACGTGGGAATGCGGGGCGTGTTTAAATCCCAGCGTGTCGCCTGGAAATTCCTGCGTTAATTAGGACGGGATTAGGATGAGGAGGGGGAATTTGGCGTGTTCCAGGGTCAGATATTCGGGAAGGGTGGGAGGATTCGGGATGTGGAATTAGGGATGGAATTCAGGTTGGCTTCACTCAGCAGCGCCTCTGCCCCTTCGCTGCTCCGCCCTCCGGGATCCTGAGTCCAGCATCGCCTCCGGGACGGGATAAAGGGAGGGAGTTCTCCTCCTTCTTCCCGCGCCGCTAATGAGCCGCGGTTTAATGAGCAGCATTTTAATTAGCGAACGTCCAAACCACAATTCCCAGCATGCCCCGCGCCGCTCCCCATCCGGGTCCTCCCGCACTGCGCCCGCCCCGCCCTTCCGCGAGGGGACTTCCTGCTTCAAGCTAACCTTGATTGACAGCCGCTGTATCCAATAGCAACGCGGCGTTTCGCGGTGCGGCCCAATCAGCGCTCACTAGGCGGGCGGCCATGACAGTGGGCGGGCCGGGGCGGCTCCTCCCGGCTGGCGGCGGTGAAGATGGTACGTGAGACCCCCGCCGCAATGGCGGCCCCGGG